GTGTACCTTTTTAGGGTAAGTTAACCTGTGACCACGGGAATCGACCGCGTCGAGTGTTGGATCAGTACGGACATACGAAGGTACTGGGTAGAGAGAGATCGGAACGGTTTTTAATGTGAAGACAACAACAACAACAACAACAACAACAACAACAACAACAACTGCCCAGAATAGTGGCATCATTTGGTCTTGCCCCTACAGTCCATATGCCACTATATCGGGCCACCTACTGTACAGCAGTAGACAACATGATCTCTTCGAGTGGTGAGTCGTCATTTGCAACGGACAGCGATTCCGACTTGGATGCAATTGCTGGATGCCTACTACCTGGATGCCGACCAAGCCCTCCAGGGTGAGAACTTGTCTGTGATCGTACGCTGTAGGTACCATTGTACCAGACAACAAGCCTGTAAACCCAAACTATACAGCAGTACCGTATATGTCAAGACAAATCGACGATTCGACAAGTAAGTTTGGCTCATACTTGATAGGATACTGATCATAAAGAGTTTTTTCTGTATTTCAGTCTCAAATACACAACCGAACTGTAACGTAATGCCTGCTCTTGTCGGCCGTAGAGCTCAAGCCGCCATGTACCCTGCCGTTGTGTTTCTCGTTTTTCTTCGTTCCCCCTGCAAGCATGGTATCATCTCCAAAAAAAACCTGCACGCATGGTCTCATCTCCAAAAACGGTTTGCCTCTTCTTTCTCGGCTTTCTCGTACCCGGGGAGCAATTATATTAGGGGTCCTTGTTCGTGGTACGTGCCTTTAACAGCGAAGTATCCGGTGACCTTGGCCAGTGCCTCGCGTGGTGCAGTCAAGCGGTGTTCGGTGCCGCGCGTCCTCTACAGCATTCAGTGCAGTGTGTCCCTCCTTGGTTGCCGGTGCGGGAGAATCCGTTCAAGGAAAAAGGGAAAAACCAGTGGCAGTATGGGGGCGGGTCGCCATGCTCTCATCTTTTCCTCTGAAGAAAAAACAACGAAATGAAGAAAACAGCAACTAAAGGCAGTACGTAGCAGCAGTGCAAATAATTCACCTCGAACCAACAAGTGATCCGTCCGGGAGTGCGAGTGTGGGCTCAAGGGCACAGTGCGCCATCAAGGGGTGATGCAAGATTACAGCAGGGGCCGCCCGAAGCTGGCTGCCCGCTGCCAGTTGTTGTTGTTGTGTTATTGTTGTTGTTGTGTTATTGTTGTTGTTGTGGTTGTTGTGGTGAGTGATGTTTTTTTGTTGTTCATGTTGTCTTCGATCTCCACAGCGAGATACCGTGCCCAGAACTCTCATCTGTCTGTCTGTACTGACGAAACACGTTCATGGATCGACACTTGACCGATCGATTGCCGTGGTCACAGGCTAACTCATCCTACTGTATATGTATATATGCTCAAATAAGATGGGCCCGAAGGGTCCGCAAGCCACTGGAAATGGAAATCAGTTGGTTGTGGCGTTTCCGAAGCTCGACATGAGCTCACACACACACCTATAGCTGACGGACTCTCGAAGAAGAGCCACCCAAAGAAAAAAGAAAAAAGACGGCTGTGCTGTCTTGTACACGTCTTATGTTGGCAGGTAGGTACAGCAGTAGTGAGGGTTCGGGCGCGGCAAGCACGGCGGCTGGTGCTATGGAGGAACAAAGAAACTATTGGGAAGGGAGCAAGTTATGTCCGTTGCTCCTATGCATAGCTCCGGGTACTCACACTTGTTGTTTGATCTCGTGTAGTAGCCTTGTTCGACCAAGCCCGCTCAGCGCTCACTCGAAGAGTTGTTGATTGATGAGTGCTGGGGCTGGGATTCTGATCTTCCAAAAGCTACGTCATACTCCACGACGACGCCAAATACCCGGGTCGAAATACATTTTTTTTTTTTTTCACTTCAAATCAGCGCTCACAGCACCAGTGCCGTTTATTCAAACCCGTGGTCACACAGAAGAGCCTCTCTCTACCCTCCCCTCCTGCGGTACTTCGCCTTCAATTTTTAATGCGAGAAGAGTTCAGCACTCTCTTCCCTCTGTGTACACACGAACTAGCGCTATCCACTTGGCCAGGAGCGGAAGCGAGAGAAAAACTCACTTTGCAAGAAAATCTCGCCTACGCCGGGATTCGAACCCCTGACCTGACCTCTTCTTCTAGAAGGTTACGAGGCTACCAACTAGACCACCGGGGCGACCGGCCAGTACAATACTGACTGCTGTATCCCACGAAAATTCAGTACTTCGCTCATACACAGCGCTCATACCACAGCGCTCATGTGTAATTTGCCTGCTGCTGCTGACAGATGATTACGCTATAGGTCGGCAATAAAATCTTTAAAAAAAAATTAAGGAATAATATAAACACACACAGAAAGACTACCCATTCGAGATATATACCCACAGACAGTCGAACGGGATGTGGTGGAGTCTTTTCAGTGAGTGGAGGGAAACCGGCTGGGTACTGGACTTATTTCGAGTCTTTTTAAGTCTATACACTGATGATTTATACCAGTGATGCCAGCTGGTGCTAAGTACAAAAACATCTGTCTGTATAGGTAACTTACATTTTACAATACATCCCCTGTAGTTCTCTACTGGGTCAACGACAAAATATCGGGGAGAAACCCTCCGTTGTGTCGTGTATTGTAAAATGTAACCTTCACAGGGGACACGGCGCAGTGTCTATTGACAGCTTGCTGGTTTATTAGACATATTAGGAATAATATTGTAAAATTCATGGAAGGTGGAACAAAATCTACAGCAGTACATCACCAGCCCTACATCACTCGTTTTTTAAATCTACAGGTTTTTGAATTTCACGGACAGTAGGTGTTTCCCGCCGTTTTTTTTAATTTTCAAATCGTTTTTGATCCTTTGTTTAATCTTTCAATGTTTCAATTTCAGATGTTCAATCAGAATGGATTGGAACCAACAAACACCACCACCACAGGCAAAGGCGAGAGCGTGCACTCCCCGAAAAGAAACATGATAATCAACACGACATACCGCTTTTGGTGCATGTGCTCAGAGTGTACAGCAGCAGCAGTCAGTGTATCGCTGTGCCGGCTGCGAAGTCTAGACTTGAGACGATCTGGACGAACGACCAAAGGTGATGACGACAACACGCAAAGAAAAGACCAGGCAGGATGCACGCAAACTTATAGCCGAACCCAACCCCACCCCAGCCATTTCTCAATGTTTCATCCATTTGTCTGCTTCCATAGAAAAACCTGTATGATGTCTATGTAGACGAACAAAAGGTAGGTGTGCTGCTGGTGGTGGACTTCGCGCGATGACACATACATACATGTCGGTGAGATGGAATCTCCAGCGAGAATGAATGTAAGTCCCAACAGGCACTCACTGAACAGACTCCACCACATCCCATTCGACTGCCGCTGTTGTGGGTCGGGTATATCTCGAACGGGTAGGCTTTCTGTGTGTGTGTGGTACAAGTGTGTATTTAATTAAGGAATAATAAAAAGACACACAGAGAGACTACCCATTCGAGATATACCCACAGTCGAACGGGATGTGTTTATTTTTCCTTCTATTTTTTTCTCTCGGCGCAACTCGACGCAATAAAGACGATAATTGCCTCTCTGTGGCTCCCCTCTCTGCGAACCCATGACACATCGTACAAGAGCCAGTGTATCATTTTGTGCAAGAAAGGCCAGGTCTCGTCGTTCCTTGCGCGTCGAGGAGAAGTTGATGATCCTGATTGTGCTTCCCTCAGTGCTAAATCCCAGTACATCAGAATCGCTCCAACATTGGCGCGCGTGTGACTGCTGCACTTGGCTTTCTGAGAGCACCACAAGTATTCAATTTTCAGGTGTTCTTTCTCGGCCTACACCGAAGGGTGCCGTCACCCAGACGGCATCAATACAGTGCTATAAAGCCGCCCCCGATCCCGGATCTCTTCTCGAATTTCACACCACGCTTGCTCGCCGTGGAGTGTGACCTGCGATACAGCTAAGGGTTGAAAGGTGGTTAGAAATGCTAAAAACCATGGCTGGCTGCTGTGCGACGTGGTTGGAGCGCATGGAGCGCAGAGCTGGCTGCGGCGAGTGCAAACGAGGGGGGCGGGGGATTTTTTCAAAACGACTAGTATTATTGGGAGAAGGAGGGCAATAATGCAGGAATCACAAGTTTGCGGACGGCAGGGCGTCAAGAAGTGGAAACATTAATCGCTGTCATAACTAACTATATTTCTGTGAATTTGTGAACGATCTTTCTCCATTTCGTGCGGTTGCAAGTTTTCGTTCAAGTTTTCGTCGCCATGGTGTGTTCACGCGCCGCCCATGGTAGGGGGTTGGTTGTGGATAATATTATAATGTGCGAAGAATTGGCGGCGGATCACCTTCTTGCCGTTTAGGGAGCACGGGGTTACGGGGTCTTTGGGTGAGGTGGTGCTGTCGCCAGTTGGGTCAAAGGGGGCTCTTGGCGACGAAGTCTGAGAAAAAACTGAGTGAACAATAGCGAGTGGTTCTGCCCATGTCTCCCCATGTCTCGCACCCATTGTACTCCGGAACAAAAGTAAAGGGCTGGAGCCACTCCTCTTTTGCCACTCTCGACAAGCCCCCTAGCGCAACCACAAGCGACACGCGCGCGACAGCCCTTCCTTATGATGATTTGGTGAATTCAAATCGAGTCAACCTGAAGCGCACATCCGACCGCAGCGAGATTCCATGTCTTCTCTAGTCGGCATTTTGCGGCAAGGAGTGTTCTATCACGACTTAGCGTTTGACATCACAGTGGGCGGAGTTAAAATATGCGGCCAGGCGCATTTCAGACTTTGCGTACTCAAGAGAGAGAGAGAGAGAGGCTTACATCACGGCGTTCAACGAAACACTCGCTTGTGTTGTCGCTGATTTTTCCATCACAGTCAAATCAGCGCTCACATCATTTCTGCCGGGGAGGAGCTACAATCCATGGTCGCACGGCAGGGTACCTCTCCCTGAGGCCCCCACCCATCCCTCCTGCTGGTTCTTTGTTTTCGATGCGTTTTCGTGACACAGAGTGCAGCACTCTCGTCCTTCAAAATGTTCTTACTCACCCACGAACTAGAGTTCTTCAATACCACATATTTTCTAGGAACGGAAGCCAGAGGAGAAACTACTTTCACAAGTAAAAGCTCGCTTACGCCGAGCTTCGAACCCAAAACCTTGTCCCGGTCACTAGAAGGTAATAGGATGCCAACTAGAGATTGGGACCGTACTCGCACCAAAAATGAAAATGTAACCAACGTAACCCATTGCACGCTCACCGCTCGCTGCTCGAGCAAGTGGCGGGCATTCGAGACTATATAACCGCATCACGAACTTTCACTCTCCTCATTCATTCATGCCCTGCAGGTTTATCTGCAGCAGGGTACAAACGGCGGCACATGCCGCCGTACAACTTCAAACCAAGGGAGTGTTCGTGTCAACCGGCACCTGAAGCTGGACGACACTCCACATTTCCACAGGGCTGGTCATTTCGGCGGAGATCAGGCTCAAACTTGGACGACGGTGGAAACAATGGTAGGCACGGGAATCGTGCCTAGACAGAACAAACGGCTTACATTCACCATTTTTCGCTCATGCTAGAAGTATGCACGCATCACTCATTGAAGCTGCCGCACGGACACTTCCTCAAAAGGACAAGAGGTGTACCAAAACACAAACATCGCACGTCTAAAACCTATAGGAAAATAGGGCGGGACCATCCGAGCAATGGCAACCATCCAATGAACCTTGCAAACACTAACCACTGATATCTAATATCTATCACACGTCGGGGGCGGCACATTGATGTATATCATACCGTCGTCCTTCGGGAGCTCCCCTCCATCGATCCTAGCAAATGCATCCGTCTCTGTGGGCTACCCAAGGCACAAACCGGAGGGAGCACCACGGTTTCTGGTAGGTCAGTATCAGACGTATTGGACGTACTTCCATCGTCGGTGATGATGCTTTCCGTTGATTCGTCATCTACCCTAGCCGTTCTCCCCTGCTCCTCCCCACCACCGCGTGGAAAAACCGCTGTTCCATCTCGGTCTGTACGAACTCCCCCGCCGCCAAGAGATGGCACTTCGATTCCGTTATGCACCCATTCCCTTCCCTGTTGCTGCCGCATATCAGGAGGCGACGGGCTGGTAGGCGCGTATTTCTGTTCGCCCCAATCATTCTCAGTTGCTGCGGTATTTTCCCTCATCCCGGTCGTCACCGTTGACAGGAATTCGGCCACCTTGGTCTCGAAGTCGGGCGAGAGAAACGTACTCGTACCGGAACCGCGTGGTGCTTCATCCATCTGAGGGGGCGATGGCGCACAAGATTATTGTATGGGTACCCGAACCGAACACACACACGCACCAACCACTATTATCCCCCGAGAAATCTCCACGGCTGGTTCCTGGGCGGACTTCTCTCCGAAAGACGTTTTAGAGTTCCTGTCAACGTTGGCTCCATGCCCAGAGCGTCGCCAGTCCAACTACAGCGTGCCACAATGAAACTACCAGGTATTCTTTAAAGTAAGCTCAGACAGCTGTCACGCGAAATGCACTCACCTGGATACGGGAAACACTTCCGCCGGCTGGATCCAGGCCCAGATCGTCCAGGCCTTCAAACCCCATACCATTTCCTTCTTCTCCTGGCGCGTCCCCCGGCTCCTTCTGCCGCCGATCACTGTATTTTTTCTTGGCGAGAGAGCACAAGCGCTTCATATCGAGCCCGGTCGTAGACTGCAGTAATGGAGCGACATGAAAGTGCTCCGAGCCGTGCTCATGCCGGATCCGGAGATTCCGGGCTTTGGCCACGTGCTGCCAGGCATGCCGCCAGTTCTGACCGTGCTCCTGCCCGGGCATTGCCGTGGGGCACTCTTGGTCGGTCTCGCCTGAAACGAATTTCCCTTCTTCGGAGCGTCTCCAGCGCACCCACTCCCACACATTCCACACGCCGCGAAACCAAAGAAAGAAAGACCCGACGATGCAAGCCCCACACAGCGCCGCAGCGAAGAGAAGGGCCAGCCAGCAGGCTGCGATGGTGCCCAAGGCCAAGAGAGACTCTCTGAGTTTCCCTCTCTTGACCGGTGCGTTGGTTTCCTCGTCCTCATCGTCATCGCCTTCATTGGCGAACTGTGACGTGAAGACCACCCCCCATTTACAAGGGATTTCATGGTAACGGCCGTGTGCAAATATGGCGTGGGGGGCGTGTCATGTTTCACACAGCGCGTGATTGCCACACATGCTCTTCCAATGGACCAATAATCATTTTTCTGCAGAGACACCTCCCGTGTCGGACGTTTGAGGGATTTTGGGACCTCCAAACGTCCAGCCAATACACATCCAATCAAACATCCACTGAAACGCCATGGTGCAGAGAACGCGCATCAGCCAATGGTTCTCTCTCGCGGGCTGTTGCATGACGGACCCAATACAGGTTTTGGGTACAACCGAACTGCAATTCGGTGCTAAGCTTTCCCTAGAGAATGGGAACGAGGGTTCGTTGTACCGCTGGAGGCAAACGCCGCCCCAAGGAGACTTTAATCTCTCTCACCTCGTACGACACCCAGCAAACAAGTCTCCACGCCACCCACGGAAGCGAAAGCACCCAGAGCAACGAATTCAGCGCCACAGCGACCAAACCCATCGTCAGCACGAAAAACAGTCTTTGCAGCGTTCCGTCGAACGTGTGCCAGCCGTACGTGGCAGTGATCGGCACAAAGCCCTCGCCTTCCTGGCGCAGTTTACACCTGAACATTGGCCAGATGTGGATGAGAATATAACGAAAATATGTACATTTGTTATCAGCCCTAGTGTAAATGTCTGTGCAAATGTTCTGCAAAGGGAAACAGACGAAAGTGGGTATAGCCACCCCTTCCTCAGTAATAGTGGGTTCTCGCAATATTGCTTTGCGGAGACCGCTCGTGATAGGGTACAACCGCCCAAAATATCATTCGGATGCATAGAAAACATGGGCAGGGCCCATGCACAGCATGAAGATAAACTTTTTTCGACTTTCGGACACGTCTTCACCCTACACCCAGCCGCAGCACACAAGGCCTCAACAGGTTGCCTGACTTTGTCCAAAATTCCGGTGGGTATATCCACCGGAATCTAATTTTTAATGTGCCCACCTTCGTCTGCTTTGTGACCCACTTTTGTCCGAAACGTACTCACCTTTGTCCAATATTCATATTCAAAAAGTTCCCCCGTGCGGTGAGTTGGAGGTCGATTTTGAATGAAAATCGGACCAGATTGAGTACGCATTTCGGACAAAGTGGGTCACAAAGCAGACGAAGGTGGGTACATGAAAAAATAGTAGATTTCGGTGGGTATATCCACCGGAATTTCGGACAAAATCGGGCAACGTGTTGAGGCCTTGTGCGCTGCGGTTGTGTGTAGGGTGAAGACGTGTCCGAAAGTCGAAAAAAGTTGATCTTCATGCTGGGTATGGGCCCTGCCCACGTTTTCCATGGATCGGAATGATATTTTTGTTGGCTGTGCCCTGTCACGAGCGGTCTCCGCAAAGCCAAATTTCGAGCACCCACTTTTGTCTGAGAAAGGGGTGGGTATATACCCAATTTTGTCTATTGCCCTTCTGCAAACCCCTCACATCTGGTGGATGCTTCGCTTACAGCATCAGACTGCTGTGTACGGGTTTTCCTAGGGTAAATCTCTCTCATTGTTCCCTCTCTTTGATTCCGCTCTCGGCGCCTCACCTGCCCGCGTCAAGCCTCACCCACCAAGCTAGCTCGCCGACCGTGTCCAACAGCAAACCCACAATCAGCTGGACTAGATTCAGCGGCGGCGGAATGCGTCGGTGCGCAACCGCACGCGCACTTTGTAGGATCAACCTCGTCCGTGCGAGGTGGAACTCCTTTTCCCCGTTGGCGTTCACCTGAAAACCAATAAGCCAAGGAAAGCTTGGTAGGTAGTTTCGAACCACCTACGCCATGAACCGCGATGGTATATTTCTGAGGGCATTGCGAGCGTGCGCTTAGACCTTCGGTTGGAACGTACTTGCTAGAGGCCTTGCTCACCTCTCCGTGAGCCGTGGTGAGCACCGCAACGAGAAGGTTGAGCATAACAACCGCAAGAACGACCAAGTATGCCTGGCCGTGAAGAGATGCGGAGAAACAGACGGAGAAGCCATGGAGGAGTTGGACACAGTCAGCAAGATCTGAAAAGAAAAAACAACGAAACATGGACACAACACGATGGCACAAAAAATGCACCAGTCGCAAAGTTCGATCGCAATTGCCGGCGCTTTCGGAAACGACTCATAAAAAAACAGCACCACAAGTTCGAATGCCTACACCAGAGGTTTTCAATCGGAAAAGTGAACCTGCCCAGAGAAGCGACGCGCCCAGGAGCGAAAACCCACTCACCACCAGCAGAAACGTGCCTGCATCACTCGCGCGCCCCGGTGCAGGATTGTCAGGGCACTGCGTGCCGACGTCATGGAAGTCCTCGAACGAAAACTCCCCAAGTGGCGCCTCAAAGACGGAGAGGAAAGCCGTGCCGAAGGACCCGAAGCTCTCCCCAAGGAGGCTGTCGGCGTTGCAAGACCCAAACACGGTGGTGAAAGCAAGCGCGAAGCCTGCCATGACCACCACAATGAACACTCCGAAGCGGAGGGTCTGAGACATCATTCTCCAGATAATCTGCAAGGAAGGGCAGAATCAACGACACGAGGGACTACTATTGTTTCTTGGCCACGAAGCGAGCATGTAAGACGGTGGCGTTAGCTTGGCTCAACCTAGGCAGCGCTTAGAAAATCCTTCTGGAGGTCCAACAAGAAGAAGCCACAACTTGATGGAAACCATCGGCATATTTCTCACCTGAATCATTGGTCCCAGCGTGCCGTCAACCTGTGAAAGTCGCAACAATCTCGCGAACAGCAGCGGGGCGCTGCAAGATGACAAGCGAAAAGTAGTGGGTGGTGGGCGGTGGGCGACTGGTAAGGCTACACGCGATCTTTCCCGTGTGGAGGCTGTGGCGAACTTTGGGACTGCAAACACAGGTGTCATGTCGAAAGACGTTTACCAGCATAGCAAAACGGCTTCGTCGTGTTGGTTCTATCGAACGGGGTGAAGCTCTTACAGGCGACTGACTACCCTAGTTACCGATACTAGAGGTACCAATACTAGCAGCAGATGGTTGCTGCGGTGGGGTGGTCGCAGTCGGACAAAGGCCGGTGGCACATACAGTCGATGGGTGTAGATATTTAGGGCTAGAGATAAGCAGACGAATACTTAAGGCAAGAGTGCAAGTGCTCTCCATCTTGTCACACCTCCGTCGTTGCTTATCTCGGCGGCTTACCTAAAGGCGAGGAAGAACTGAGCCGCAAAGAAATAGTCTCCGGGAGTGGCAGGCCCACCGAACTCCCGTGTGCCCAGCAGGCGGAAAAGAAAGGCCAGGGAAACCGTTGAGAGAGTCAGCGTGTCCAACAGGTTCCAGGTGTCGTAGAAGAGGTACCTGCGGAGGGGGGGGAAGTATATCATGAGAGCATGCGAAGAGGTATGCACGTGCCTGGGCAAGCGGAAAATACAGTGGCAGTGGCAACGACTATGACGTGGACAGGACAATACCTCGCTGGCGCCGTAGTCAGCTGTTGATTCAAGATGATTCGACAGGTGAGGGTACAAGACATGGTTGCCTTGTACAGCTCCGGTAGATTATGCACAAAATTTCGAGCTCTCGGCCAACGGCAAATTGTGGCAGTGTTCCTTAGCACATGGCCCAATCGAACCGCATCCCGCATGATGCCAGAGCAAAATGCCGATTGTAGTACCTGGTGATTGCAGATGCCACTCGTTTCAGACCCCTCCTCCCGCGCGCATAGCCTATTGTTTGAGGCCTCTCACTTGATGCCCTTTGAGCAGCAGCTATGTTCCCTTGATTGCCCTTGTTGTTCCGCTTGCGCCGCCCGTACCGTCGGTGACGGGCTGGTACACCGTCACTGAACTCAAGAGTTTCTCTCCACAGCGTGCCCTTGATAGTTGGCAAAGATGTTTTGGGACAACATTTTACAATTTGAAGGATGTTCGTTGTTTGACGCCAACGCGTACTGTACAAGAGTCGCCTTCGTAAAAAAAGCTAAACGTCGCGGCAAATCTCAAAACGTGGTTCCAATCGCATGTGGAAAAGAAGACCCAAGGCAGGAAGATGACAATCATTTTTGTCGCAACAATCGTAGTACATATACTAGCGCGACAATCGGCGTCCAATGTAACCGCTCGAAATACACACACGGACCTGAAGCCATAGGAGCTCACCAACATGAAGATGTAAAAGGCAACCTCGGTGGGGGGGATGCTGTAGCTATCCTCCAGCCTGGCAGAGGAGCAAAACAGCCCCAACATCACCCTGCAACACGCAAGCAGGGAAAAGATGGCATGGGGTGAAACTCTCCATCGCAACAAGCACGTGGAGATATCCTGCGCTTTGGTTTCGGTAGGTTGGTGATGGCGGTGGACGGGAGAACAGCATACTTGCATCTAGTGGACAAGAAGGCCTGGCATTTGGGACGTAGTCATCTACTGATGCGACGCTCACGAGACCATGCAACCTGGAAAATGCAAAACAATGAGGACATAGGCCTATGGAGTTTTCCGATTCCGGAATGCTCTATTCAGAAACGTGCTCACAGATAGTGCAAGAACTCGAAAGCGAACCGGATGGCAGGTACATTGTAAAACACTGCCGGCTTCCCGATCAGCCCGGCTAGAGAGAACTGAAGCTTCGGAAACACCGTGGTGTGTGGCAGGTGGGCCCAATCCAACCGTCGAAGCACGGCCATACAGTTGTTCTGCTCCGCATCATCCTGTGCCGTCATCGGTTCGTCAGGCGATTGTTTCCCTGTGTCGAAGTCCTCGAGGTCCCATCCCTGGAGAAATCTGGCACGTGGCCGAGCGAGAGGGAAACGCGGTGTTCAAAGTAGCTTCACAGTGAAGGCGTCTTTGATGGCGGCGAGGGACGTCACCATCATGACTGGAACGAGCAAAAGATGTCGCGGTATGGCAAGGCGGCACCTCTTGTGTGGGAAACCAAGAATTTGCCGATGTGCATTGTCCAGTCCGGGCCTATAAACTTTGGCGTACTGCCGCCCCCGACGGTTGTCCTACCTCAAGAGGAAATTATCCCGCCTTTCGGGTTCGTTCTCCTCCGACCCACTCCCCTGGTCCGTATTCTGGTCCGCATCATGTGGTTCCGGCCTCGCGGACAGAACCTCGGAAAACTCGTACTCGTCAAATCCGGTGTACGTGTAGAACCCCGCGTTGATCGTTTTGGGGATGGCGCTGCTCGAGGCCCAATTCGGTAGAGTGCAGGAGAACTTGGCATGGACGTAGTCCAAAACCAGAGGCGAATTAACGAAGTCAAGCGCCTTCGACCCTCTGTCCAGAGCCCGCTGCAGCGGGTCCATGTAGTCGGGACCGCTGTACCTGCCGGTCGGAGCAGCGTCCGAAAGTGATAGTGGGCCACTTGTTGTGTCCATGGCTAATTACATAAGCAATTCACGTCATGTTTCTTATCCAGGAACCCCTCGCTACCAGCTGCATATTTTCGCAGACAACAGTCGGACGTACTCTGAAACAAAAAAAAATCGGATCTGAGTCTCTGCACGACGAGAGCGGAAAAGCTCCAACGGACACATCTACGGCATCGTTTACCTCTTGCCCACAGTCGTTTGCCGGTTCAATAGCCGTGGTTCCAGTATCCACCCCTGTTTGATAGGCATAAAATCGCGCGGAATTAGCTCATTTTCTCATAGCTTGCATGTATTGGGAAAGTCAAGCCCTCTGAATGAAACGGCACTGCGGGCTGTCGTTGTGAGTGCGTACCGAAGCCAAGTGCATCGTTGTCGACACGAATTCTGCTTTTCGATAGGGTACGCTGAAACCAGCTCCCGTTGACGCCAAGGATATCGGGTGGAAAACCTCGTTGTCACTGTACCTCGCCGCTTAGAGGCACGCATGCAAAGATCGCAAACTGGGCCAAGCACGTCAGTAATGTCGTTCCGTTTGGTAAAAAACAGATTTCGACGCAATACCCAGGGCTGGCTTACCACGACGATGTAGCCGGCGAGGTGCGCCAAAACGTCAAGCCTCTGTCGTTGCAACTTTGATAGTCGATGGTGGGGAACCATGGGACTAAGCAAGGCCATGCCCATTCCTCTGACCGTGTGAGGCAGCTTGTCCAGGAGCTGCGCGGGGAAAATACGAGGACGTACGGCAAGGTGGACTCTACGCGCAGGCAGTATTCGGAGAAGTGGCAAAAAAAAACACATCAGTTCGGACCAACCGACTTACCAATTTAGAGGACACGGGACAAACTAGCAACGAGGTGGTTAAACGCCGAGCTCTCGTTGGTTGTCACGTACGAAAATGAGGTGCTGTCTAATCACCAAGAGGTCTGCCGTACCTCATTCGTGAGGTCATCGATGATCTGCTGTAGGCAGCGGAGTCTCGCGCGGTGCATCGGGCGGTCGACTTCAGCTCTTCTCAGATTCTTGGACACGCCCGCACCCATGACCAGAGGATTGCTACAAGTTGCGACGGCGAGAACAAGAGCGGAATTCTGGGGTAGTTAAGACCAAAGGGCGGCCAACAACAATGTCCAGACGATGTCCTCTGGTAATCATTTTCCGAGATAATATAATGTAGACGTTGGCATGGGCCTTCTCATGAGCGAATTTGCCTCATCTGGCATCTGGCGGCATCGCCTCAAGATTCATCATTCATTTTTTAAGTTCTAGACCGATGTTCAACAACGCATGTAGCGTGCTCACGAAACACGGAGGTGACAAGAAGCCGGATCACCTAGCGTTGCCGACCGCGTACATGACGATGTCCATGACCTCCCCTTGGTCTTCAGCCCTGAACAACGGCGATAGCAGGAGAGTCACGGAAGGACACGATGGTTTGATGTGCTAGAGCTGGCTCGCAACGGTGATTAGTTATTCTCCACTGCGAAGCACATCACTCAGTTTTCATGTGTGAAACTCTCCGTTTGCCCGACGTGGATCTCAAGCACGCATTTTTCTGGTGCCCTTCGCACAAGCACGGCCCAAACAATGTCAAACAGACTGAACACACGAAAAGCAAGCGGATCACACCCTTAGTTTGTCCTCGCATTCGTACACACCTTTTCAAGAGAGTTGGGATGAGATCGTCGTGTAGAGGAAGGCCCTCTTTGACAAGTTCCCTGTGAAATCCAAGTTTACCGTGGATAGAGTAAGCTAAGAGTATCAGCATCACATTGCGGCCCGACGGTTTCCAGCGTCACTTCAGTGTTTTTACGATGTCCGAATAAAACGTTCAGTATCGATTCGTGTCCTCAATACCGTCTCCTCGTCGAGCCTGCCCTACAGAAAACTCGTCATTATCCAAGTGCTGGCTGGCACTCGACAGTGCAGTGTAAGCAACGCCATGCATTGCGTCACTTACCGCAGGTCATCGAACGTCCCGTTTTCGGTCGCCGACCTGACCGCTTTCCCCGAGAGCGACATGAACGTTTGCCGCCATGACGGAACCTCCGATATTCCTTCCTCCGAGGCCTCGCCTTCGGCACGCTGATATGCCTGAAAATCACGCGAGGGCAGCGTGTTGGGGGGCGGGCCACTCAGGAATAAAATGTAGACGTTTGGAACTGTAGACACATCTCTTTCATGTGAATGCCAAGCGAGGCTACCAAAGCAGGCCAAAATTTCCCCCTCGAACGTTGGTTCACGAGCAACTCAAGGTTCGTCTGAGAAAACGAAGAGTTGTATTCCTACAGCCTTCCATCCAAACGTATCTTCGTGTGGACACAAAAAGAGAGGGAAGGAGCAGCCAGCGGATCCTGCGGAAGCTGTCCACCGCATTGCCCGGAACCATGAGAAACATGCTTTTACTTACCTCGACCAGGTCTCGCCACATGACAGCCGTCACATTCCCCGCACCCCGTCCTAAGGAGGTGTGCACGTGTGGGGCGCACTCGTGTATAGCCTGAGGCTCCCCTAGGATGATTTTTTCCTGGGACGCTATTGGGAGATGGCCCAACAGCTGCCACGACTCAACACAAGGCAGTGACGGCAATGAGGTGGAGGTGTCAAGCATGGCATCGATGCAGGGAACCACTGGTACACGACCCAATCATGACACTCAATGGTAATCTCTTCAGACCGTGGCTCGGTAAGCGACCTCCAGACCTCAAGAGGAACGGGAACGATGAAACAACCTCCGTATGCGCCGGACATTTCCCCCGGAAAGCTGCACAACAGACGATAGACATATTCGCAAGACATGACATGAAGCACCTGCAAGCTATCGTGCACTTCGGAGTCGTGAACATCGACATGGTTATGATTGTGCTTTTCACGATTTCCCGCAGTCCCACCTCGTCTCGAGACCATCTTCGGCCGGTGAGGCTCTCGTACATGTTGTAGACCCTCTGGAACAGGACCCAGTTACCACTCAGCGCCGCTCCGGCAAGCGGAGTACTGCTGCTCTGATGCGTTGTCCGAACCATCGACGCAGGCAGCAAAATGCTCCTCCTCGACATGAACAGCTCAACAAGGTTCCGAGCGGCATCCTCGGGAGTGCAGAACTCGTAGTTGGCAGCCTGCCGTCCAGCCGTTTATGGTGCATAATGAACTGGGGCTAAATAACTGACATCGCACTTCCCGGACCCGCTGCAGTCAATTCGAGAGGAGCCACGCGACGTCCAACCCCAGGTCTTTGTCTCCTGTTTCTTGACATCATTGCACTGCACTGTACTGCTGTACATTGCTTATGTTTGCCTCAACATGAGATTGATGTAGCCACCGTTGTCGCGAGCTGGACTTCTTTCGTTTGAGTTTTTTGCCGTGTCGCTCGTGTTGGTCTCTCTTTGCAAAAGACCCATTTGCTACAAGCAGAGATCTGGATTTTGTACTACAAAACAATTGGGCCAAGGAAACAGTCCCCGGTCCCTGGTGTAGCTCGGCGCGTTGAGGCAATGCCTGCCAGAGCGTTACATCTGGTATGATGTGGTTGACATGATTTGCAACGCCCTGGTCAATTCTCCAGCGTATCGCAGAAACGCGCCCTCGTCGGCGGGAGCCCAGAGATTGACACTCCCGGTCTTTTCGCAAGGGCTGCACCATGAACTCTTCACGCATTTATCACGGTATACTCTGTACTGTTCTGGCCCAGCACCATGACCTAGACTATCGCCCCTGCACAGTGCATTGAACCCGGCCCACGTGCAGCGACGTAGCAACATGACCAACACGGACTTCGACAGTTCTGAAGAGGCGGAGCTGCCGCTGAAATCTAAAAATATAGCAATCTACAACGTGTCCCACTGCCCAGCTGCGTGCAGAATCTCATAAGAGGTCAGGGCTAGCTTTGGGGCATTCGGGAAATGGTTCAGAAAATCCAATGCCTGCAGGTGGATTTGAAGAAAAGAATAGGGTGTACTGTAGTAAAAACAACAACTGCCACTACTCACCTCCCGTAGGCAGGTGTACACCGCGACCAGGATCTCCGTGCCATGGCTTTCGCTTTTCATCGATGAGGATGAGGCGCAAGTCAACGGGCTGATCTTGCCCTGTGCTCCACGGACGTTCTCCCACAACTGCAGCCCACGATCAAGGGAAGTGTAAACTTATTTCTCACGTACTTGTTTGTTTGGAGTGTATCGTTAAACGAAAACTGCGTTACACCGGTGCGAACAAACCCCGCTGTCCATGCTGACGCGCGTCGTAAGCGACGGCTACACTCCAAAACCCAAAAACAACGAAATAGCGACACCGGACTCGCATCCAACGTGTTCGCAAATGCCTGGCCAACTCGTTGGGTCAGACGGAAGACGTCGCATTGGCGTTGGATTGGGAGCACTACGATGCATGAAGATTGCGAAAGCAGCACAGAACCAACAAGCTTGAAACCATGGACTGTTTCCCGAGTCTCGTTCGACGAAAACGAACTCTCACAAGCACCTGGTGCGGGCAGCGCTGAGCCAAGAACTGGTAGACCCACAACACCGCTTCGACTTTTCCCGACAGCACGGCCAGCCCGAACAACGAGCTTCCGCTCGAAAGGATGGCCTCGATTGCCCTGTCCACCGGTTCAAGCTCCTGGCATGTGTTCGTCGCTTGTCCCTGGTCGGCAGCTCTTTCGGAGACATCCTCGACGAAACTTCCAGTCTATACCAAAAAACGTTCAAGCAGGAAGCGTCAGGATGCAACACTTCGTATCAACCAGACATGACCAAAAATGGCGCACGTGTTGCATGCTGGCCTTCACAATCGAGCTCGGGAAAAGCGTGACTGAGTATTTCGTCCAGGAGGTGCTGACGGCGAGAAAAAATCGTCGTAGCTGGCCGTTGGACTTTAGACGTCTACGAGATTGAAGGAACTCAAAGTTTAGTTGGATGTCAAGGATCGCATGCATGCTCACCTTAATCGCGTGCACAACGGTTTCGAGCACGTCTACATGCCCACCCTTCGCCGCAGCAGCCAAGAGCATGCCCCACCCCCACGCATCGAGTTCCCCCTGCCCAGGGGTATCCTCGTCTCCCTTCTTTCCGTCGACAGTTACACGTAGCGCTTCGTTGACCGTAACAACTGCGCTGTCGGGCTTTTTTCGCCAAAATTTCATGAGGCGAATCTTGGCTAGAACCAACTTGAGCGAGGGTAGGCCTCCTCGAGCCGCGTGGATGAGCTCCGTAACCGCCATGACAGCGACGCCAGTCCGTCCCACGCATGGCATTGGCATCACTCTCCGAGGCACCATGAAGCTGCCCTTGTTGCTGTGAAGCCAGAGTTTTTCAAACTTGGGACGGATCTCGTCTCGACCCTCAGGCTCTCCGTACTTGGCGCGGAGCACGTGGTGCAAGGGCGTCAGCCCGTTCTTGTCGGGCTTGTGCATCGTTTTGCTATCGCCAGAAATCCGCCTAACAAGGAGAAGAACCTCGCAGAGCACGTCCAGGCAGCCGGCTTCTGCGGCGTGATGGAGCACGTTTCTTTCTGTGTGGTCGACCTTGGTCAAGGCGCCGGAAGGAGAGCCTCCTAATCCCTCCCCAGCAGCGGAAAACGTACGCTGGTGGTGGTGGTACATGTTCCACACGCGGTGAAACACCTCCACATCGTTGCCTCTCGCAGCGTACATCACGACCGTCCTCCCCATGCCATCTCTCGCTGCCACCTGCTCCACGAGGCCGCCTGCTGTTGCGTGGTACGCAAGGACGTTTCATCTTGTCGTGGGTTCACCTCCCGCGTCATCACACCTTCGTTGTCCTGAACACCGGTACGCGACATGCTAACGTTTGCGCTATGACGGCGCTCGGACTCTTGTTGTGTGCGACGTGAGCGCGATGCTGAGGTCAAACCGAACACTTCCGTAGTAGCGAAGGGCAATGCAGACAACGCATCGGGGGACGAACAACGACCCACTAGTCGACTGAGGGTATCCCATGCCTCACCTCTCCCCAAGACAGCGCTGAGCGCATCATGGACCGTTTGGAAGCAGTTTTCTGAGCTACGACTGGATGCCGCGAGAAACAGCAAGGGTGCGCCGTTGATGTCCCTTGCCCGCAGCTGCTTCACGAGAGCATTGAACCCAAGCTGGCGTGCGTACAGATATAGCCGGGAAACGGCGCGTGCCCGAACGATGGTGTATGCGGGCAGGAGGCAGTGACAAAGGTTAGGTACGCGTGTGGGCACGACGAGGAACGCATAGCGGCAAGACAAGGGTGGGGTGTTCTGTTTGCACACAAAACGAAAACGTATCTCCAGTGCAACACTTGTGTGGTCGGCGTTGAATGTGGTGGGTATTGAGAGAGGATGTTCTGGGTAAGCACGTTCGGGGAGCGAGGAAGTCGAGTTGACAGAGTGCAGACGGAACCAATGTGTCGGAATAGCGGTCGTCCGGTGAAAAGACAACTGAGATATCACATTCATGCTGTACGTGGTCCACTTGGTTGGTCAGTCCTAACGCATTCCACAAAAGATAACACACCCGTTGATACGTGGTAAACTTCCGGATTTAGGGTGGTATCTTCTGACAACCAAAGAGTTCCGGGTCAGAGAGTGTTACAACGTTTCCAGCTTATGTTGATCCGCAACTTTTTTTGTCATCCAGTCGACGGCGGTGGTACCCTACAATGCAGAGATGTTGCACCTTTCGTGGATTTTATCTCACGTTGAACCATAGATCAAGCTCTTTCAGGAGAAGCATAGGCATTTCGCGTGCTGGCGCACACACTGCCACAGAGTTGCAATGTCGCACCTGATCTCGAATGTGTTGGATGAGATAGATGAACCACTCCTCCCGCCCCCATCTGGCAGCGTATGCCATGAGGTTCTGGCCGTCGTCTGGATCACTCGCTAACAGTGCTTGATGCACCAGCGACTCGGAAATCTTCCCCAGATTTTTCTCGACACGGGCGTACCCCTCCGCGACACTCTGACGGTAGCGAATGGCTGCGCGCAACTCGTACATTGCCTGGTGCTTCCACTGGAGAGATCAAAGAAGACAACGTGCACCATCCGAATGAGTCAAGGATTATAGCACGCGTCACCTGAGTGCAATTCAGGCTCGACAACAAAAATGCTCCGGAGTACTGCTGTAGCTCATTAAGAACTTCGCCCAAAGACTACTATACAGCTGTATGCCGCAGCGTAACGGCAAAACTCGAAACGCCTCAGAAACTTCGATCGATTCAACATTCGACCCTAAAGAATAGAGTCTCGGCTAAGGGGGCTGTGGAGTTGTGCAGATAGATCTCTTCGGTGAACCAAGAAATGCCTGCAAATAAATCGGTTCTCCAACTTTTAACTTGTTTACGAATCTGCCACCTCTCCAACAAAAGCGTCCGCACCCGTCGTGCAGAATAAATTAGGGCTGTTAGCTGTTAGCCATTGCCATACGCTACAGACTTGCGGTCCGCAATCTTGCGAAAACCTACCCGATGAAATTGACATAGGGCCATCAAAAACAGAACAACACTCTGTTAGTGACTCTTTAGGTCTAACCGATGTTGCACTTTGCAAGGCTAGGTTCCTCACGCGAGCAAGGCTAAGTTCCTCACCCCACATCTACCCTAACCCTAACCCTAACCCTAACCCTAACCCTAACCCTAACCCACGGCCGAAGCACGGCCTAGCGGCCGCGAACCGGTCGAGAACGCCGCGTTCTCGGAATGCGGAACGGCGCGAGGGCGCTGGAGAGGGTCAAGGGTAGGAACTAATGCCGGACGATACAGAGTAAAACCGCTTAGATAGGAAGAGTCACTAACAGGTTGCAAAAATTACCGGCAATGGGTGTGGGAGCTGCCGGAGGATGGGCCTCCATGGTTGGTGCACGTGCGATGAACTGCAGCTACATGTAGCTGGCAACTCCACTCTGTAGCATGCGTCTATCCTACAGCAGTAGTACATACACCTTGCTTGGCCATTTTTGTTTGCGGTAGACAAGAAGGAATAATAATAAAAACACACACAGAAAGACTGCCCATTCGAGATTACCCACAGACAATGTTTCGGCAACTTGTGTCTATGTACACTACATGGCTCAATATCTCAATACAACATGATGAATACGTTGTGAACTCCCCAACCATCTTCGTCTACCTTCGCACTGTAGGATGGCCAGGCATGGCTAATGCCACCAGTGTCCAAGCCAGACTCCATCCGTGTTGTCCTGTGTACAAGGGCGAGAGGGTACGAGTGAGGCTGCTTGCTGAAAACGACCCGCAGGGCCTCAACATCAAGCAAGACGACCACCGTACCTCAAGCACGTGCGGCTCCAACATGGTTTGGGGGCGGCCTAAGTCCAAAATAGTGGGAATGGCGCGAGCCTGCGGTGTCTGCGGGCGGCGTCTGATCAAAAACATCAGTCTGGAACCGAATCTCACTTTTGGCGTTGATTTCACGGGATGCTTGTCCGGAGATGTCAATGAAGCGCCAAGATCAGGACCCCGGACACGCGGCGCAACAAGTAAGCTAGCTGTGATGCGGCGGGGCCCATACACATTCGCGATATTCACGAGGAGAAAGCGAACATACGGCACGGGGCGCGGGCGCGCCGGCTATACCAGCAACCACCGTCGGTTGTCACGCGGTTGTGCGGTGCTGTTCTGTGCGTACCGTGTAAAGTCGCATCTCGGGCGAATGGCATCGAACTCGGAACATGCGTCTGATTATTAGCTGATGGACAGCAGTCCTTCGGTAAGTTTATTGCCATTAAATGCCGTTCCGATCTCTCTCTACCCTGTACCTTCGTATGTCCGTACTGATCCAACACTCGACGCGGTCGATTCCCGTGGTCACAGGTTAACTTACCCTAAAAAGGTACCCTCAAATAAACTGGCCCCGAGGGGTCGTAGAGCAGATGGATCCCATGGATGACCTTATGTTGTTCATGTATGTGTTGTGTTCATCATGTTCATGTACCTCCATGACCACCCAGTTTCCTCGCGAAATAATTCCCCGCTGCCCCAGCAGTCTACCCTCTGTCATAATAATTGTTGCACCTTGCTTGTTGCACCCCCGGAAAAACACATCCACAAACGAAAAGATCGATGACGGAAGGGACGATAATAAGCTAAGGTTTCCTCAACTACCCGAGGCCCCCCGTTGCGCAGCTAGCTTCTCTTCGCCGCCCTTATCACCTTGTGCTTCATAGGCTTTACCGAGGACTCCACAGCAGATTGCTCCTGCTTCTTTGTGTGAGTGTCAGCAGTGTAAACTGCGCGGTCTTACAGCATCGGTAGTACCACTTGTACCACACAGCCGTGCTCTGAGCCACTCACAGTCAGTAGAATTTGTTTTTCTTGAACACCGCTAGGTGCCGCCCCCAAAGAACTAAAATACTAAAATACCTACAGCAGTGACACGCCTCCTCCAGAGTGTACCCCTCCGGAGATGTGTCATGGACAGCTCGGAAGCTCAGGTATGTAGGAGGGATGAGTTCAAAGCAGGAAGAAGACCGAGGCTACTTGTGAAACAGGTGGGTGTTTGTGACGATATTCCTATTTAATCGTTTAGGCACCCAACCAAGCTTGAAGGACGCCAACTTGCCGAAAAAAACACCCCGAATGTAACGGCGACTAAGTAAGGGTCTTTCTCTCAATTGTTTGTTTATTGGGGGGGGGGGGGGAGTATGAAGGAAACTTCAAGAAACGGGGATTGACCCTACATCTACAACCACAGTCACGCCCCCATGTGTCATTCTTCGGTTCCTTCCCTACACCCAAGTGTCTTCGTTGTCATCAATCGACGTTCCGGGCTACCTTCTTGTGGTGGAAGCAGCTTGTTTTAGTACTCCGCAACTAACACAAAAGCCCTAAGGGGCTTCAGAACTGTGCGTGGGCGGTCGGAGAGCCGAGGCGCCATAAGCTCATCAAGAAACTCGTACAATCTGCCCAAAAATAAAACACTGCTTGTACCGTGCCGTGCGTTCTCATGTGGACTAATAGAAGAACCCCGCGTGACACCGTGTTCCACGCCATGCACCACACATAGAGGGGAGCACACAATTCCGCGTCCTCGTATAAAAGCTTCTCTCACTCGTCCAGCTTCCGTGACCACCACCTCGAACAAATGGCCAAAGGGGACACGTTTCTTGCCTAGGTGGGGAAACGAAAACGCGCTCCAAGCATGGCAGGCTAGGTGTTGTGTGCAACGAGACACAACCAGCCCACACACTCTCTTCTCCGCCCTGAAAAAAGCTTCTACGAAAGGGAAAATCGCCCTTTTCCCCAAGGGAGAAGAAGGCCACACACGTTTCGCGGCCTCCCACACAAGGCTCAAGTGCTAGCTGGTACACGTTGTCAGCAGAGCAGAAAACCACAGACACACCAGCGTTCGTCCGCGTCCATCCGCAATATTACCGGGGGGGCGTTTGCTAGATACCAATGTGGTCATGTACCTTAACTGCTTAAACATGCGCATGAATTTTCTAGATTCTGGGAACGTGACGGCCTTGGTCCTACTGACGGCCTTGGTCCTGCTGCCTGCGTTTCAACACGCCCGCCAGACAGACGTGTTAATCGCGCCAACTAATCCACCGATTATTATAACGCAAGCAACATCGAGAACAAACGCGGCTTTGGATGTGATTGACAGACAATAATTTACACCTTTGCGGCGACCGCGTGCCAATCGCACGCCAAACAAAAGTTATCCCTCCCGTCTTTGTCCCCTTTCCCAACGGGATCATCCTTGGGCACACACACCCTACGGGGCGCCACGGCCGTAACCTGAAACAAATGATCACACCGTCCCTGTTATGTCGATGACTGTGTCAGTACAGTACCCTGGTCTTAAAAGGGTTACCAGGCATGCGACACGGATTTCCCACACGGAACAAACCCTCCTGCCCCTCAGAGTGAACCCCTCGGAGATACCCCTCCCCCCCCCCCCCCCCTTCCAACTTTGTAAACGCTTATTCCAACCGTGTCCATTGGGTGGTTGGATCATCGGCCGGCCTCACGCGCCCTTGGCCGTGCCCTCCGCGTCCTTGCCGAACTTACGCCGCATGACGCTCAAGAAGTTGATCTGAACCCACCACGAGAGAACGTTCATGACGAGGGCATCCAGGGAAAGGGAGGTAAGAAACCACTGCACTGTGTTAATATTCAGCATTACGTAGAGATCGCACAGAAGTGAAAAACAGTTATATTGTGGTTCTGTCCTCCACGTAAGAACGCCTTCACCGCCCCTGAAGAAAGAACGTCAGACAGGACATTGGCACGAGCTCCTTACACCACGACACACGTGCGACGAGAAGCGCACGGTATACAGGCTTCCACACGATGGGGGAGGCCTCAGCCGCGAACAAAAACACAACAATTCTTGCCGAACGAGCAAGGCAAACGTCTGCCCCCTACTCCTCACCAGATTCGACGTGGGTTGCGCGCACCATATTAATGCAAGCCCTACGCACACCCCTCGGCCCCAAACCCCACGCGCGCCATGCCTTGCATGGCAACAACAGCTTTTGGGTAGCGCCGTCAACGTGGTTTCATGCCCCGCTCTGCCAACCATTCGCTCCCCGGCAACGCAAGCACATGGACACCCACCCGCCTGCACCGCACATTGGTCTAACAACAACGGCATGCACAGCTATGAGTACATCCCCGTACCCCACAATGGCCAACAATGGTCTAACGACTACCGGTATGAGCACACCGCCCCCGCCCACTCACTTTCTCGAAGCGGCCCTTGACGCCGCGGTCGAACTTGGGCGTCTCGACCGGGATGTACCGCCAGATGATGGCCATCATGGACCCTGTGATCGCCATCCAGACCACCGAGATGGCCGCGGGAACCCTCGCCTCGAAGGACCCGAAGTGCAGCTTGGCAAGGAGGAATCCGAAGGCGGAAGACTTCATGGAGGTCTCGATGGCCATCGTCCGGGAGGACACCTCCGAGAAACCCATCGCCTTCGGCAACTGCTCCCCCGCGTTAAGGACGACGCAGGCACACACAAGAAAGATGCGACGAACACGCGCGGGCAAAGGGACGAGAATGGGTAAGGCCAGCTTAGGTATCAACATCCCGGCTGCCGTGGAATATAATTGCACTGTTTTTTCTCATCGAGTTGGAACCATCGGTAAGGAATTCAAGGAGTGGGGTAATACCGACATTGTAAATACCCCAGAGGCAGTCGAGGGGATTGGCAGAAAAAGATAGCGTAGTCACCTCACACAAGAAACTCTCATCGGTAATTCTCCCGTGCACCCCACCAGTGATGCCAGGCCTAGCCATCGTCAACAGTAAAACAACAGGGAACAGAAGCACGGTAGGAGCTGAGGGTGCTCACATACTAGTACGTCCTGTTTAAGGTGTCCATTACGATCCCGTCTCGTGAAGGACAACAGGGTCGAAGCGTCGGTCTGTTGTACTGCACATGTATGTTTGTGTGCACCAAGGCCTTTCGAGCACACTTAGGGACACGTGCATCGTATCTCTGCATCTGACCCAACTCAGAAACAATGGACCGCATGTGATTCTCGGTACCCTCCCTCCCCCCCCCCCGTCTGGCAACAAGCAAACCACCAGCAGCAACGTGGCACTCACGAAGTATCCAATGAGCCCGCCAAGGAGATGAAGGAGGATGATAGGGATCTGGAGGGCTAAGCCCGCCGAGATGATCGTTGGAGCCACCTGCACGTCCCCCCGAGGTTCACCGCCCAAGCCCCAAAGCATCGTCCCAGCCGCGACAAAAAGCAAATCAGGCCGAACCAACAAGGCGCGAGAAAGAGACAAAAGTTAAGACCGCGGGCGGGGGGATGAAGGGCAAGGGTGATGACGCATAGCTGACTCGAGTAGTTGAAAAGGAGGTTGCGATGCGGAACGTGAGTACAGCTGTAGGACAGGAGATTTCTAAACGTTGCCGCAAGAGTGACGCGACGGCCCGCGAACGAGATACAATGTTCCAAAAACCGGTGCAACAACGCATGGCCGCACAAGTGCGGACACGCCGAATACCAGAAACGTGACAACGGACATCGGGTCGCGCCAGCCGGCGGAAGTCATGCAAACACTTCCAAAACGCAGACAAAGCAGCGCACAACCGCGAAAGCTCGCCATCACAACAAAGGAAGCGACCCCATGCTAAAGCTTGCCTGTGCGACGGCCGAGGCCACGAGGAAGCACGTAGACAGCACGCCCACAACGGGGGTCACCGGGAGCACGGCCTTGACCACACTGGGGAAAAACTTGTTGGTCATCATACCGACAACGATGGGCGCCAGCACAACCTGAGAAGGAAAAAAATCGCAAAAGAAGCAGGTTCCGCCGGCATCAAGGAGGGCCAAATTCAACCACAGCGGGCAGCAGGGGGTTATTCGGAAGCCAACCGACATGTGTGTCAATATGACGCTGACTATACAGGCATCTTGCGGGTCGGTAGGTTAATGTTGTTCGCGTACGACAACGACGTCTACCTTTCCCCACCCCTTCGGACGAATCTCATATAACCTCGTCACTGCTGTGTACCGGACTTGCGAAAACAATCCGCCGCACGCAACGTACATATGTAGCAAAACATGCACTCCACATAGCATGTTGGGCCGGGTGTCAAGCCAACAACAGGCGGGACACTTCCATCGTTTCAACGGAAACTCGAAGCATGAACTAAACACCCTTTTGCATCTCGGGAGCGACGGCGATCACCACAATACGAAATAGCCCGGGACAACATGACGACTTGCACGTACCTGAACGGTGGAGAAGGCGATGCCGACTGCGTCGACCGGGACCACCGTGCCCAGCAGCAGCTTGCACAGCAGCGGGGTCATGACGATCGCTCCCAGCGTGGTGATGGTCGTCATCATCACCGACAGGGCCACCTGAGTTTTTTTTTCACGCATGACACACACGCCCCCAACAAGGCCAACAACAACGTATGATTGCCTCGACTGAGAACGTTTTGGCCCATACCAACGCAGCGTGACAGCCTTCCACTTGCAGGTTGACAAAAATACTCGTCGCAAGCCATGTATACCGCACAAGCAGCGAGGCGCCTGCGGATGGAAGCGACGTGCTTCTCATGTCAAGAGCTTCACACCAAAAGATCGGCAACCCCTGCACGACCAAACACCAGCAGCAGCCCAAAATGCTCACGTTTCCGTTAGCGATGAAGGTGCAAAGGTTGGAAGCCTGCCCCCCGTTGATGCACCCAACAAGCACAAGCCCCGCCAGCAGGGCGGGGCTGAGGCCCGCCCCGATGCCGAGAGCGTACGCCAGCGCCGGCATCATGATGTAGCAGAACACGAAGCCCACCATCACGGCGTTAGGCCTCTTGAGCACGTTCACGAAGTCCTTCGGGCTCAGGGTGATGCCCATGGAGAGCATGAGAACGGCCAACGCTGCCGTGAAGTACCTAGTTGCACGTAGCACAACCGAGAAACCGGTGGTTGTAAGACAAGGGTTGTCATTATCGCCAAGTAAGGCATTTTGCCTACTAGGTCTCCAAGCAAAAAAAAAATTGTTGTTTCCGCGCTGCCGACGAGCCGGAGACGTGGCCCTACCCACGCTTGCTGATGCGAATGCCGACGGGGATACAAAAGCCACATGCAACGTTGGAGGGAACATAGGAATGTGGTGTTCATCATGCAAGGGAAGATCACACATGACGCGACAAGACACGATGGTTCATCCGCTGTCTAACCCCATGGGATATCCTTTTGCGTGCTTGAGTTTTTCTTTATCTGCAAGACAATGAACGGCGCCAAGCAGGGCGTAGTTTCCAAGGACGGACGTCAACGCCAGTAAAACTCTCCGCCTCGTCTGTGTTGACATTCTACAGAGCACCTGTACTATTTTGGCAGCGTCCCATGGGAAGCACACATTCGTAGTTTTATCGATGGTGGGCTCGCGTTCAACCTCTCAAACTGAACATCTCCTCTGGTTTGGTGCATGGCTTATCGTTGCAACGCCTTCAGGATTCATTCAACTTTTTCCTGCTCATGGGCGGGTACAAAAGAAAAGAAGAGAAAAGTTAGCTATTTGTTGGCCTTGGAATGTGGCATATGGACGACAGCAGAGCTAAACCGCGTGTCGACGTTTGCAAGCGCTACAAACACGGCATTCAATGTGGTGCCGGTATAACGCCAGACCGGCACTACTCAATAAACCGTTCAAGTTTCGTACGGCCCTGTGTGCTGTTTTTGGACTTCGCATAACAGGACCATGAATAACCTGCCTTCCATCAACACGGGGAACAATACGAATGGGGGGAAAAAGTGGGCAGGTTGCGTATGTTCTGTGAACCACGACCCGGTCGAGCATCACAGGCGCGGGGGTGTACGACAGGCGGCACCCACCACTACCGACACAAATTTTACCAGCTGGTAGTTCCGACCACCCGCACAGGTGGACGGCGACCCCCCTTCCCCAAAATGTCGGATGCCTTCGTCCCCTTGTGGAGACCTTGACAAGGTCGAATACCTTGGAGAAGACAACCAAGGCCTCGAAAGGGGAGAAATCGAGGTATTTTTGAGGCCTTGGTTGTCTTCTCCAAGGTGTTCGACCTTGTCACGGTCTCCACAAGGGGGCGAGGGCATCCGACATTTTGGGGAAGGGGGGTGGACGTCCACCTGTGCGTGTACACAGCAGTGCTTTCTTTCATCTTGGCTTTTCAAAACAAAAAACAACCAAACCGCAACACCCGTCGTAGTTAAAAATACAAACACACCGCCATCGTGTTGTGTTAGAAAACGCAGCAAAGACCGAAACAGAAGGCAACAACAAAACACACCCTTTCTTGGGAGTATTTCCGTCCGGACCCGCCTTGAACGTGGGACCGTACGAATCTTAACCTTTGCACCGCCGTGCCGTGCCCGGCCATGGGCATGCAGTGTACCAGCAGTGTACCAGAAGGGAGCGTGCAATGGGCGTGTGGGTCGTTACAGGGTTCCGCTACACCCATCGTGCCCCCGTCGACTTCAGCATGAGACGCAAGCAGCAGCTGTTTGCATATTTTCAGGTCTGCTGCCGCGCCCTTTCAATTTCAACTCTTTCGCTGCAAAGATGGGCTGTGCAACGTCGATTTGATCGTGTGTTCCTTCTTCGGACGGGGGTCGTGCCTGTACGCAGTCGGTCTCCTCGCTGCCCAGACAGGGTGCTCGTGGCGCCTAGAGCTGTGCTACCACGCTGCGCTTCCCTTTCGTATGTTCGCATGCATACATACGCGCAGCGACTGGCAAATCTAGGCAGCGCGACTGGATCTTTAACATGTGCCACATGTCGCTCCTACAATACATGACGCGCCCGATACCGAGGGCAAGAGATTCTTCGAGCATTGGATATATGCGGCGCGTCCCGTTCGTTCGTGTGCACACACGGACAGATGCGCGCAGCAAATAGCGCGCCAACAACACGACCACACCGCCACTCACTCTGTCGTGAACCACGCAAACACCGAAGGATCCTTGAGTGCAATGCCGGAGAACACACACAGCCAGATGGGGAACAGGTTGGTGAACCACCGCGCGCCGGTCTCGTAGGCCTTGAACAACTTGTTCTCTTTGACGGCCACCGCCTGGTCGCCACCGCCACCTCTGAGGCCCTCCACCGTCTCGACCAGCCCAGAGCCGCCCGCCACCACGGCCGAGGCCGACAGTAGCGTTGACAGGCGTCGCCCCCGAGCACTCTCGCCCCATGCTCCGCCCGCCTGCTGCTCCTGGGACATGCGCAAGGCTGCTGCTGCGGCTACCGATGGTCCTGCCCGCCGTGCGGCTGTTGCGCGCTGCACAGCAGCAGCACCAGCTGGCGCGCGCGACGCGAACGGCACGATTCCGCTGCGCGGGAGCGCATTCTGGACGGGCACATGGAAGGAAGTTGCCTCAGGTGCTGCCAAGAGGCACGCAACTGCACAGGCAACCCTCATGATCTCGTCAAAGTTGGATAAGCGCTGCAGGAGCAAGCGCGAGGGGTGGCGGAAAGCTACGAGCCGGGCGCCCGCGGTTGGTGTATTCTTAAGAAAGACGTTCCGTGCACAATCCACGGTGCCCCCTAGCTGCCGTTGGCCGTTGGTTGGTTGCACCGCAGGTACCTGACACGGATGGGGATGACGGATGACATGACACACCGCCGTTAGAGCGACGATACGTGCAGCACAGCGGAGGGGGACTGAGGAAGAAGGGCATGCATGCTCCCTCGAACAGCCTGCTCATGTTAGACCCTCCACACTCCCGCTGCGGTCGACGACTGGCGCTGTTCACCGGCGCGCTCCTCCTGCCGGTACAGCAGCAACCGCTGCTCGATGGCTCTATCGGCTCCTATCTTCAAAATGGAGGAGCCCATGAGTCAACCTCTGGCGGCAGCGTAGTCGGCCCGGCGGCAGCAGGAGCAGCAGCAGCAGCAGCAGGAGGAGGAGGAAGAATGCCTATAGCCATGCGCCATTCCCACTGCCGTAGGAGCATTGACGCTCTGTTTGCCGCGGGAGCAATAGCGGGAGAGAAAGTTGATGAAGGTGCGGAGCGTTCTCAGCAGCCCAGCAGCAACCGTGACCTTCAACACGATCCACTACGACAACATCGCCACGGAAAGCTCGACGACGACGAACCCCAGCCTGCACAAGATTCCGGTCGTGTCGCCGACCTGACAAGTCGGAAGAGGTGGCAGCACTTGCGCCCGATGGCGATGGCTCGAGCGCTCGGCCGAGTCTTGCGAGGGAACCGGCGGTCAAGGTTGAACTCGGGGGCGACACCGCAGCATGTGAGGACACACCGGCTGTACTGTAATACTTGCATTACAACATGTTGTGTCGGCTGTGTATGTAGGACTCTGTTGCGGCGTACGACAGGCAGGCGTAGGACCAGCCCAACAGGTCCGTAATATGGAAACACAACGAACAGCGTGCTTTACGTGTAGGGTCTGTTGCGGCGATACGAAGTCCACGGGCAGTGCAAGTGTCCGACCCAGCCATCCCTACTACTGCTGTCGTCATCATAGAGAGACATGCTGTTGCGTGGCCTCGAAGTTCACAGCCGGTGTTCCTGGAAGTTCTTCATTGTGTTGTTGAGGTGGGAGCAAATGCAGAGTCGGGTTGTGGCAGACCTTTCCACTTCCGAAAGCAGCTTGAAAAGTGTAACAACGCTCGTGGCATGAAACGCACCGTCTGTAGTATTCAAACGATGGTAGAATATTTAGCTGTGGAATTAGGAATCGCCACGACAACCGCCGTGCTTTTTTATTATGATTATCACCCAACCAATACATCTCTATCTCAGAAAAGAGTCTCAGATTTTGTGTTGCTTTGTGGAACCTTTCGCCAGGCTCAGCATGACGGGTTGACGCCCGCACATAGGCTCTCAGTTAGGGCTGTCACAACTCCGCAAAACCCCCTAAAACCATGAGACGTTGAGTTCCCTCCACCAGACAATGTACTATGTACTATTACCTCCCTTCCTTCACCACCCCAAATTCGCGCCGCACGCACGGTCTCCATCATGACAGAAAAAGAACACGAGTCGAGCTGCAGATGGCGGAGTTGGCGGGCTTCTTCGAAGGTGGCGAGCAAGGCAGGGTCAAGGGCGCGGGCGTAGGCACCCTGACCCTGCAGATGGGCACCTGGCCGCAGCAACCGACGAGGTCGGAAAGAAAACGAAGGCGGAAGCAGGCGGGGGGGCAGGGAAACACCGCGCGAGCATCCGCGAGTCGGGAGGAGAGGTTCAGGCGAACGGCGACCCCGCCGCTGCGTCTACAGCAACTGCAGTCGCGGTTGTCGCTGTTACTGGTGACGGTGGCAGCGGTGTCAGGTCTGCGAACAGCAGCTTCGTTGTGAACGAGGGCATTTGCGTTGGTGTCGACGGGAGTGGCCCCGCCTTGCGGCCGGGCAAGTACGACGGAGAGGACGTGTCGCCGGAGGCATGGACCAAGGTACAGATCTTTGGAAGGTTGCGCCGGTACCCCTTGAGCCAATAGGTGTCGGCGCTGGATTGGCACGGTGCGGAGGATAGTCCTCGTAGTTTTTGCCCACGATACCTGTCGAGGGAGGGGGCAGATCACATCGACTGGTGTCTTGGCGTGGATTTTCGGGCCGGTTGTGGGCGGTGGTGTGGTGCAGCGTGTGGGAAACGGTTTGGCCGGGAGCGCCGCTACACGGTAGTATTGATGAAACTTCAACTCGCTTCTTGCAATCATCATTCCGCAACTCTCCAACACGACATTTTTACACGCGGCACCTCTAACCTTTGCTCGAAATGGTACATAGAACATGAGGTCGTAAACGATTCCACACATATCTACGTGGTGCGACTTTGCTACAATACTTACATCGACTAACTTGATTATTTGCGCTGTTTGGTGTGGGGGTAGGTCGGTGAGCTTCGGGCACGGGCAGAAAGATCCGACCCGAACGCGGGAGAGGAAGAGAAGGGTTTGCATACATGGTTGGCCACCGGCGGTGGGGAAGGGAGAACAGGGCTCACTGACATGGACCTTCTTCGTTTCGTCATGTTCAGGTAAGGTGAAATTGAGGAGTTGGGTGTGTTGGGAAACACAGCACTACAACAGGAGTGGGGCAGCGTTGCCGATGGCATGGGAGGGACGTGGTAGGTACTTGATTGGGGAAGGAGGGGACAAGAGATACATACGATTTTCACAGAATATAGCCTTGCCGTAAACGTTCGGTTGTTTTTTCGTCTTTCAAGGTTTACAAAATGTTTATTGCCTAGTTTTAACAGCAAAGCAAAGAAAAAAGGCCTCCGGACCCTGTCTCCGTTGACCTCCGTGTACTTTTTTTTTTCACCGACTAATTGTGCTTTTCTCGTCAATGCAGTCGCACGATGTCCACGTCCAGGTCTGCAGTATGCCTTGTGGTTCACCACAGATAGATATGCCATTCAGAGCCACCTCCGTGCGTCCGGTAGCTCGAATGCATCGGTGTTGTACCCCCAGGCTTTTTTTGGTGAGTTATGGACACGTGTTTCTTTATACGCCCCCAGTTCGATTGTTTCCTTACCATTGTTCTGCATTGTTCCTTTTATGCTCCCTCGTTGCGGGCGCAGACACGGGGACGTGGATGCTGCTTGGCGGCAGGTGAGGGTGTTTGGACCCAGTTGTGTTACTGCTGTACTTGTCGTCGTAGGCATCGATGAAACGCGAACGGCGAGAATACCGCACGGCACGAAACAACAAATGTATCCATTGCAAGGGCCATGTGGGCACGAGCGCTGGCAAGTTCAACGACATCCTCCTGCATGCATCGCACCGACCGAAATATTTTTAGGGAACCGAGTAGCCTGCGTATGGGTCATGTTGCGGTGGGCACGGGGTCCCTGTTGATTGTTTTTGGCAAACGTATCCACCAACAGTCAGCCTCGACTTCCCACGATGGTGCACAACGTAGTAATTGTCTAGTTTACTCACTCTGGACCCTCTTCCCCCCCCGGCTTCCATCACCCCCTACAGCTGAAGCGGGCGGCGGCTTGGCGGCAGGAGCGCCGCGTGGAGGCCGTACTCTCCGAGCAGCAGTGGTCTCGGCACAAGGAGCTTCAGGCAGAGATATTCTGGGTCGGAAGGCAAGGGGAGGCCGTCGAGGAGGGCTGGTAGTAGCTGGGGTGGGGAGGGGAGTCGTCAGGCGGAAAGCTAGGAGTTGTCTCGGCTCAAAGCAACACGGACGCGTATCAGATGGAGCCGGATCATTTTTGGGCGACCATTTTTAACGCATCATGTCACAGGCAATAGCGAAAAACCTGTGTTATTGATCCCAACACATTCACAAAGCCTTCAAGAGAGCAGAGGATCTGCCTCGGATCCTCTAGAAATCCTCCAATATCAGTGGTATGTTCGTTTAGGTTGTTGAAAGTTCCCTTCTAGCTGAGAAAAATCCACGTTCCGGCTCTCTCTCTCTCTCTCTCTCTCTCTCTCTCTCTCTCTCTCTCTCTCTCTCTCTCTCTGAAGGCTCTCTCTGAAGGTCCAGAGGTCGAGTTGACCGAGGCCCACAGAGGAGAGTTCCGGGGTTGGGTAGTGCGCGTTTTGATAAGCACCCGGCAGCTCGCAGCCTCTGCGGCTCTAGACGCACGCATGGCCTTGCCTCCGCGAAGAAACTATTCCAACCCGCCACACTGGAGTCTCGGTTCCTGGTCTTGTTCCGTAGCCGTTTGAGGTTGTAGTAGGCAGTGCCTAGGATTGCCCTCGTGGATACTCCGCGTTTGGAACCGCGGGTCGCGTTGACCAATCAAATGGCAGCAGTGTAGGACTTTACTCTGTTATCTTGGGGTGTTTCTTGTCCGTTGTTCTTGGCACGCACGTCCACCAACATTGAGGAGATCCCAGGTGGAGACGAGATAGCCACGGCTGGGGATTGCGAGCGATCGCGGCGTGTGTTACCCTGGTCAGGAGACACACAAACTCGAATGGACTGCCGCTGTTATCGTGTGACTCGGACTCCCATAGTAAAAATGCGTTTCTGTATTCTGCGCCATTCCAGGGATAAGGATGGAAGGCCTACCATGGTGCTTCGAAGCATTGCTCACAACCCCGGAGCCATCGACTCGGAGGAATTTCAGCGGTACTTTCTGTTTTTGCTGGAGCAGGTGAGGAAAACGAAGATTGTGATACCGCGCGAAAAGGTCATCGTCCTCCTCGGCACTGCATGATTTTTTTTTTTGAGAACTTATGGATACCCTACTCTCGCCAGAGAACAAATTGCCGGCTGGAACGGATAGAATTCCCTTTTTAAGACGCGCGTACTTTTCGACCTCATGATTTCTGTTCGCCGTATTTTGTTGGTATTATTCGCCTCTCCTGGGCATTCTTGACTCTCTTCTGTGCCCGTCGTTCCTGTCACCATCGGGGGGGGCGAACATCAGGGGAGACAGCTGTGGGGGCTAGGGGCCGTCCAGCAGCTGAACATCATCGTTGACCGGGTCGGAGCCGGTATCAAGAATCAGGACCCGCTCTTGCTGCAGTCCATGCTGCCGGTGTTTCGAGACGCGTATCCCGACATCGTCTTCCGGTGAGGCAACCGACCTTGGGTTAGGTTCCGGTCTCAGAAGCAAGGGGGTGGCGGCGAGAGAAAGGGATAGGGTACGCCGTCTCAAGTAAACCATTTTTTTTTTTCTTCTCCTTACGGCGTACATTGTTCGTCGGGCACAGGCAGCGAACGGGGGCGGTGGAACATGATGCCCCCGGCGCATGGCCACCCGAAGAAAACATTGCAGGAAATGTGAACCCCAAGAAAACGCGTGACGTCATGTTGATTTTTCGCCCGAAATAGTAGAATATCGCCGGGATATTCGCCCCAACAGAACAATCTGACAGTTTTTGAAATGGGTTTGCGACTCGATAGCTGGAACACCGCACAGTTTTACTAGGACCAAGACATTGGACTCTATAGTTAGGTAACCGATGAGTGTGCCACACCTCTTGACAGGGAACGATGTGGGTAAAATTCCCACATCGGGAAAGGTCAACATACTTCGGTCTATTACGCGTGCATCAACACAGCTCAATTGTGGTCGGCCTCAGGTGCTACGTGGCGCCGACCAGCTGGATTTTTCGTTTCGTGTGGATCATTGCCGCGCGGCTGGTCGACAACCGGCAGCGAAAGCGGGTGCTCTTGCTGAGCTCGAACTGGTGCGGTGTTGCCGGAGTTGTGTGGGACGTGCCGCTTTTCTCGTGCCAACTATAAGCGAAGCGCGATATTGTAGCGTTCCGTTTCCTTGTTTGTTCCTGGGGCAATGTTGATGAGTCGCTAGAGCGTGCAGAGTTCGTAGGTGCGGAGGATTTAAAGATGTGGGTTGGGTTTCCCGCATCCAAACGGTAAAGAGGAATACGGCAACCTACCCTCAGTCAGAGACCAACCTACTCTGTGTGTGATTGATCTGGTCGGTGGTCTAGAGCAACGCATTTACCCGTTTACACCGTGTATTTTAGGTTCCCCAGAATAAAACTGTCGTCGTCTGACGAGCCTTTTTATGCACCGTGCCAACAACGGCACAAGAGGGCATCGAAACACGATTGTACGAACCGAAACAATTACGCTACGAGTTATCTCCCTGCTGATTTCGAGGTCGAGACTCACGCCCCTTTCCCCACGACCGCCACACTCTATGTTGGGACGCTGTGACAACAACAACAACAACAACAACAACAACAACAGGCAAGACCGTCTGCTGGAAGACTTCGATGCGTCAGTCCTTCCCCCACACCTTGGAGGCACGATGGTGGACTACCCTCCGCCACAGCCGCCGAAGATGTGAAAGGAAACCCCGCCTTTCGGTCGACGAGTCATTTTACGCTTGGCAGGGTGGTGGCACCCACGGGGTCTTACTCTGCCTTGTTGGTGTCAATCCGCCACGATGCCTAATCGAGAGGGGGAGCGGAGCGGTGTGGCATGGAGCCTGGCGTCGATGCCGGTGGCTGTGCGGCGAGATGTCCGCGCCGACACCTTGCGCGTTGGTGCTACGGGTCTGAGGGACGCCGATGTAGCGCCACACTTACGCATCCCGCAGAAGAGGCGCCACCATATGCTAGAGTACTACTATAGTGGAATTACAGGGCATGACGCCAACCACCGAGCGTGACACGGTCGGGCGGGCGGTTGGCGTCAGGACTTCGATTCTCCGTATGTTTACCATGCCCGACCAAACCTCTTGTACATACTTTGTCGTTTGTGCACCGACAACGAAGCGCCGTGAGGGTGTGGCTCAACCTTTTTTACCGCGTCACGGGCTCCGGGTCGACAGGAAATGTTACTTTCGTCGATCCACTTTTTATCGAGGCGGGGAAAAAAAAGGCTCGAGAAGCATGCCGTTTTCCTTTAGTGAGAAAGAAGGAAAATGTCACGCGGCCAAAAAATCCGAGGAACCACTGCCGTCGAATGCTGACGCGTGGCTAGAACATAGCGTTGTCGTTGTAGAAAATGGAATGTTCAGCGGAGAAATCGGTTGCTTGCGAGTATTCTTGGTGGCGGTTGTCTCGCGTTGTGAACACTCACGGGTGGGAGCGGCTCTTCGGTCGAAGAGGCAAGACCGACAGGGAGCAGAACTTGCGGGCGGGCGGGCGATACTATGAGACATGTATCTGTTGATCACGCGGATCCAGGCATTTGTTGAAACGACGATGTTCTTGAGATCGGGGGAAAGGGGACAGGGCGCGTCTTTAGTGCTCGTTGCTGGACAAGATTGATTGGCTCTCAAGGCTCGCTATATCGCCTAGGCGGAAGGGTTTGTGGAGAGAAATCCCATCATGTACGTAACGTTCACGCTGGTTGGCATCATGATGCAAGAGGCGGAGAAGATGTCTTGAGAAGGAAAAGGAAGATGAGCATGTACGAGAAGAGAGGCGTGCCACCAGTTATATTAACAGGAAACGACAGAGTTCAGGTTTCAGATATGAAAATTATCGAAGTTGCACTTGGACCTCGCCCTGCACCTAAACCTTCTACTCCGTATGTTTTATCTCCTGGTTGTTTCCTCATGGTGGAACTAATCCTTGGGTATTCCCCAGAACAAGAGGTTGTTCGCGGTGCCATCTGTACAAATAAAATATCTACTCCTTGTATCGAGAATTTTCCCTAGCTTTTACCAATCGAATGTTTCTCCAAGAAAAAACAAGGAAAACCATGTGCTTACAACCACGCCATGGAGTAGGTTATTCACTGTTACCAAAAATCCATTAATTTCTCTGCCTGCATTCCGGTGCCCCCTGAGACGCAAATAGAGCCACTTCTCTCTATTTCCTATACAAACACCGATCCTTACCCCAACCCCCCGCAACCCAAAAAGACGCGCCGACCTAAGTCTGCGACGTCATCGACGACGAGTATCACGGCAACAAAATCCACACATACCTACATGCTCCTGGACCTATTTTTTCACTCCCAAACCTCATTCAACACTGATGCCACAAAAGATCTTCTGCGTTTCTGCGTTTGTACCAAGTCTCCGAACCGCATCACCCGAACAGAACGTCATTCATATTTACACGATGAAATGTGCAAGACCAACCCCTAAGCGGTGGTAGCCATCGCGATTTTTTCTGTGGTGGACGGGACAAACACTGTATGTGTGCTTGACGGGAAATACACGGCGCTGACAACAGCTTCCGGGAAAAACGAGTCCGCGGCAGGCCGCACGGCAGCTGGAGAGGGAGCAGCACATCTCGCAACAGCAGCTTGGGGAGTCTTTATCCCCCCACGCCCCCGAGATGAACACGGTCGCTTAGGCGAAACGGCAACGGCCGGGGTACTGCAGGCACTGCTGCTTCTGCTGCTGCAACTACTGCTGCTCCTGCTGCTGCTGCCGGCGTCGCTGCTGTTGCCGTCTTCGACCCGACAGGCGGTGCGGCACGCGCGGCACGGGCAGTCCAGCGACACCGTCGCCGGCGTGCCCGTCTGGAACGCCACGAACCACGCCACCACCCCGAACCAGATCACGAAGGTGCCGAAGATTATCACCGCCGCCCACGGCGAAGAGTAGTTGTAGATGTTGAGGGCGATGAGCAGGCCGAAGAGGACGAACATGGCGCCCCAGAAAGACCCCCGGGCGAACAACGCCTCCAAGGACCGCCGAATACTCTTCCGTTTCTCGTCGCAGTGCGACTTCAGCCCGGCGCACGTCAGCACCAGGACGACCAACAGGAAGCTCCCCACCACGGAAGCGGCGGCGATTGACGTGTGAGCGACGCCGTCGTCCAGCCCCTCGGCCTGGGTGGGCGCGATGGACGGCATCGGCGGTGTCCTCGGCATGTGTCCCTTAGGAGCCGCTGTCGGGGTTAGGGCACCTGGTGAAGGAGGGAGCGTGTGGTCCAGTTTGTTACGGTCGCGGCATCTCCTCTGTCCAGGACGTCGGCGAACCGACCAGTGAAAACTAAACCGTGGCGCTGGAAAGAGAAGACGAACATCGAGACGCTTCGTGTGAAGCGTCAAGATCGATCGCGTTGTTTTAACCGGACGGCCGCGATTACCTCTACCTGCCCACCCAGGTGTCTGCAAACATGTACCATGACGATAGACGAAGATGTACACGATATAGCGGCGGAAACTCTCTCTTGGATAGCACACGAATGGTCGTGAGAAGCGCGAATTTTGAAAATACGGCCGTTTTTTGCCCGATTTCGAGCTACTCGTCATCATACCGTCTGTTTCAAGGAAACGGCGTAATTTGCATGTGGTGCCGTGTGGTCACACGATGAGTCTGTGGAGAAAGGATGTTCAATCACAACGAGATTGCCAATTCACATACCTGAAGGTGGAGCTAAGGCAGGCGCGACTGACGGTGAATTCGGAGAAGATATAAGCGTAGAAAGCGATCCAGGCACATCTAAAGGGCCGGTTAGTTGCCCGGCGAGACGATTATCCCGGGGGCACGACAGAGAAGGAGGGGGGGGGGGGGGGGGGGCGAATGAAACCGTCAGTTGTGATCGAAAAGTATGTGTACGCCCATCTCAGAAAAACAGCCATTTGTACACAATGCAGCGGATTCGAAAAATATTCAACACAACGCACTAAATGCTTCGTGTACGAGATTTGGCGTTCAGAAACCCCACCCTTTGGGGCTTGAGGTCTGGATGACGTCCTATGCATACATCACTTTGTTTTTTCCTCCTCCGAGGCACCACAAAACAATATCAGTGGTAAACGACTCCACTTGGTGCTGCTCCGTTTATCGCGAGAAGCCACGAAAGAGACAATGACGAAGCAATCCCAATTACCCAGGTGTGCACCTCCTGCTGGCCGTCCTATCGAGGACGCATAGCTATGGCGTAACCACTCGCCATAAGGCATGCAAAACATGAGTACGCCCCCCCTCCCGGTCCGTCCTTCTCGCACGCGATGCACAGATAGATGGGGACTCACCACCGAGGATACACGGGGCCTCTTGCGCGACATCACAATAAATGCTCGACGCAGTCACGTTGGTTTCGCAGCACAGCGCGCCGTCGAACCCGACGCACCCCCCGCCGGCGCATTGCGGACACGAGGGCGCGCAGCAGACCTTGCCGAGGGGATCCTCAACCCCTGCCAAGCCGTTGCTGCAGGTCGTGCCTGAAAAAATTCACACGGTACAGCAAGCAGCGGGGGGACGATGGCGTGGCGTGTGTTGACATCGCGCGGCGGCTGTTGCTGGAAAGAGGTTGGTGAAGGGGGGGGCGGGGAGTCCTGGAGATAACCTTTGTTCGTCCGAAACAGCAGTCCCTTGACCTATATGCAGCACACTCTGGAACCGACGCAAGAGGTACAAGTAAGTGTTTTGGAGAAAGACTTTTTTCCTCGAGTTCGGCAGACGCGACGTGAAAAAAAACATGAATAAACGTGTGAGGTTGCTATTGGACCGGAGCAACGAGTGACTTGGTCGGATTCCCTCTTCCAAAGTCTGGTGGCGAAAACACCATCCACAACGCTCTCCGATGGTGTAACCAACAAAGGTGCCGTTACCTGACGGTACGGGAATGGGCTTAGCCACCGTGGACACTGGATGCATGCAGCGCCGAAGGCACGCCGACGACGAGTCGAGCATCATCACGAGCAGCGGAGCCAAACAAACGAGGGAGGGAATCTAGAACATGAAGGAAGAAACGTTGACGTCCTACATTATCTCTCCGCACAAAATGGTTAGCCGAGAGTTGGGTCTCTGTTTCTCCTACTCGAACGAAACGAAAGAGCGGCGGAAATTACGACCCACCACACGGAGGCCACATTAATGCCTACTTGGGATGTCCGTTACCCCTTTCCGGGAAAATTCCGGTAAATACTCTACCGGGCGGAAAAAGCCAAGTACCGGGGGGGGGAAACCGTACCCTGCGGGGGTCTCACTTGTGGAGATCGCCCCAGCCCCCCAACCAAACCCTAACCCTGCCCTCGCGAGGGGCGACCTTGGCGCAATCAGACGGCCAACGTCCAGTGACGAGCTGGTAGAATTGTAGGCGAACCTGTGCTCGCCCGCTTTTCTGTTTTGCTTCATGTTTCAACTACACGAGAAGAAGAGTAGATTTGTATCGTGTCTTTGTTGGCGTTTGGAATGGTGGGGTGGGGGAATGGAACGGAGGCGGTGATGGTTTGCTCGTTGACAATTTTGTTTTTCTGACTTCTCGGGATGGTAGTTTATCCCGTTTTTTTTCTTTTCCCTCGTTGCTTGTGGAGAGAGACACGGACCTACGGGAGCTTCATCACGTTCTAGTTTTCATCGCATCTTTGGAATATGTTTCTCTCGTTGCTGTCAAGCTGTGGAGCTAGCTGTGGAAGAGGGGTACTACACAAGCGCATCCCCGCGTCCTTGTTTGCCTGCCCAACGACCAACTATGAGACCCAAGAAAGCGTGGTGCTTGCTGCTGAACAACCTATCTGCACGACTGACTGCTATCAATTTTTGTTCGGAGCGTTGATAGAGTGAACAAAAAGCAAACATACGCACTCCGGAATATGCACCTCTCACGAACAGAAAGAAAGGCGCCACGCACAAAGAACAAAAGGCGGTCACAAAATGTTCGAAAGCAAATACTATTTTGGGTTTACCTACACAAAGAGCAGCATCAGCAGCACAACGAATGGAACGGTTGATTTCCCCTGGGACGGGGCATTATTATATCCCCGGTTTTTTTGGCATCTTACCGGCCGGTAAAATTCAAAACCTTTTGTTTTTGTTCGGTAAGGGTATTTGTTAGGAGTAACGGACGTCCCTGAAGGACGTGTGAACGATTCTGGTACGAGCACAGCCTCCAGAGCACTATACCTTGCACCAAGGGCCTGCACTGTATGTGTCACGCCGCCTATCAGAACAGGAGCAGCAGACTAGGGAAATATCATGGTAATCGTGCTTAAACTGGACCGTGATGGCGTTTCCGAGCAGGCGTACCGTGCAGTACAACAACTGAACAAAGCGCCCGCGCTTGGTGCTGAAGAGTTGATCCTGCAAAAAAATCTCAAAAACTCTGCAAGAGCTTGAGCACCACTTGTGAGCTCGGTTTAGAACCCTTACACAACAAATCTATGTGGTGGCCATTCGTAGGATG